TTTTTTTTTTTTTTGATTTTTCATGTCTGATAGCTCACCATCTGCTCTGTGCTCTCTGGCTCTACAACTCCAGAAATGAAAAAGCAAAGGCGAAATCTGTTCCGATGAGTATTTTTGGTCAGCATAGTTGCAGAATTGTGTACATCTGTTCCACTAATGTCCCACCCACGTCACACATACATTTTCTGTCAAATGAATGCTCCCCTTTGTTTGTGTCTGACTGACCTGAGAGTAGAAATTAACCATAGTGGTGGTTTCTATGTCCTTCTTTCCGAGTATTTCCATTTTGACAGGAGCTGACGGGAACTTGGTTGAGAAGTAATCCAAGAAGTCCGGTAGGTAGCTGGCTTCTCCGTGGATAATTCCCATGACATAATGAGCAGCCTGCAAAACACAGTCAGGACAGCAATTTAGATATGGCTGATGTTTGTTTGATTTTTTTTTTTTAATATATACATATAAGGAAACTGTAAACAGCTTTACAGGTATCATGTGAACACTATGTATTTTAGACTAATTATTACATAAAACAAGGGCAGACGTAAGGCTAGTAATTACGTCTTCCAGCAGCAGGTGCTCTACTGCAGCTGCACTGAACACAACACTCGTGAATCAATCTGATCAATATGTATGCCGCACCTGGGATGAGTCCTCACTGAACGCCAAGGTGACAAACTCCTGGGCGAATCTCTGCCTCTGGTCCACCGAGAGAGAGGAGAGCTGGGAGGTGTAGGCGTGAGCCACGAGGGCTCCTCCGTTAGGCTGGTTCTCTATGTGAATGTACGGGGCAAACTCCAGACCCGCCATGCCAGGATAGGTGCACTGCGGGTGGTGTTTGGCTGGAGGAGGGACAGGCATCTTGGTGCAGGACGATGGAGAGTTGAGAGAGTTCTGGAGAGAGGAGTTAAAGAGGGATTTGGAGGCAAGAGTAGGCGAAGAGGGCAGGAGATGAGTTTTGTTGTTCGGGTAAACTGGTAGAGGGGACTTAAACGGAGACAGGGAGGAGTTGTTTGTCAATTCGGTGGAGGAGGAAGAAGAGTTGGGGGAAGAAGAGGAGCCAGGGAGGAGAAGCAGGCCGGCACAAACGGTTTGGCAGGAGCGGTGGTACATCTTCACCCGCTTGTGCTTCTCCCCCTCTTTGTGTTTCTTCTTCTTTTTCTTCTTCACTTTTTTGATTTGCAGCTCTTCTAAGTTGATCTTGGCTTTCTCTTTTTCATCTGGACAAAGTGACAGAGAGGGGGAGAGAGAGAGAGAGAGAGCGAGAGAGAGAGAGAGAGAGGGGGAAAACATTTTATTACAGGAGAAGGCATTCTTAAAACATCAACACAAAATATGAAAAAATGTAATTTTGAAAAGGCTCCAAGGCAGCTTTGTAAGAATCTATCAAGGCTGTTTTCTGAAGTGTGATGGATCAACAAATCAAGACTCTCCCCTCCCCACCTCCAGGCTGTGAGAAAACATTTTTTTCCCACTTACTCAAAGTGAATGAGATCCTCTTATAATGGCGACAGCAGCCCAGAAAAAGTTTCCAGTAAAATAAGGTGGGCAAAACTGGAAAAAAGGTGCAGATTATGCTCTACAGCATGATGAAACGTTAAGGAAAAGTAACAATAGGCAAAAAATTATATGAATTTCCTCCCAGTCTTTTATTTTTTTCAGTGTTTTAAATCAAATCAAGCAGGTACCTGCTAAATTCCCCTTATAAAAATAACAAAACTGAAAATAATGAGCATAACTATTTTAAGTAAGTGTAGACAGATGACTCATTGCTTTTCCCAGATGGTGTGCATCTCCTGCGGTGTATACATAATATAAATTGAAGAGGCCTGAAATGAAATCCCTCGAGAAAAGCAGATATGACTAAGCCAGGAGACGCGCTTTCCAGTGGCATATCTTAAAAGAGATAATGCTGTACATGGACGTCCATCTCTTTAACGCCTCGGGCAGGACAAAGTGGAACATGTAAAATTATGCACAGTGCTACTGTATGCGTTTGTCTGCGAGTGTGTGCGTGTCGGGGCACGGCAATTTGCAAACATGTCTGGTTGGTTCTTGCCCAGATGTTGTGTAAACAAGCGGTCACGTAGACATTTGTTGTATACTGGTGAGCACACGTGAGTCGCGCTGATAGAGGCGTTGCTGCCTCAGCATTATTCAAACATCCCCTCACACACACACAAACACACCGCTCCAGTCTAACTTGTACCCCACACACGTTCAATGCCAGATAAGGCAGCAATGAGACAGAATGAAAAACAGCAGAGAGAGAGAGAGAGACTATAAAAGAGAGCAACAGACAGAGAGAGAGAGAGAAGGTATTTGCAGTACAATACCCAGGCTACTAATCCAAAAGCTCTTTAACCCATAAGTCACCCCTCCCCCAGTTCTCCTGACACACACGCACACACGTACATTTATTCCCAAACCTCAACCTTCATCAGCCCACAGAACAGCTTGAGACGAGAACACTGGTGACACGCGATCAATTCCTTGGTTGGTGATAAGATTTGGAATTAACTGGTTTTAAGTATGTCATTTCACTGTTGTGCAAATGCAGACATTACAATTTGTCAAAGAAATAAACAAATTCGACACAACCTAAAGCTCAGTGGATAACGGGTATCAGGATGGTGCTTATGGGCCTTCTTGTCAGGTTTTCCTCATCAGGCTCTCTAAGGGAGGCACCTGACTCGTCATTTGACTCTTCTTTCACACAACTGGACTGGTCCTGTGCCGCCTACTTCAGTCAAGGGGTTTTAATAATTGAGAGCTATAAGGGAATATTAAATTTTATTACAGCAAAAAGCACTGTTGCTGCAGATGATGGTGAAAATTTGTTAATCGTGCCAGTTAATTTATGATAGCACTCAGTGGATTCTTAATGCATCTGCTTAGAGCCCAACATGACAGCTTCACATTAGAGCTCTTCAGATTCCAACTTCGTTCATTTAAACATGATACTCAAAGAGTGCATTTGAGCGTGACGCTGTCCCACAACGAAGGAATGGATACATGGAAATCGCTTCAGTTTTCAGCCAAATCAAAGCGAAATGAATGATATTGATTGAATGTTCTCTGAGGTAAATACCAACAGACCAATCAATTTTATAATGTGTGTTCTATTAGCTGCAGCACCAGCAGTGTAAAACAGACTTGGCAGCAAAGCAGGAAAAGCATTAAAAACATATTTATGCATTTTTGAATCAACAACACAATGCCTGTGGTAGGTTTCGGTGGCAAAGCAACATTAGCTTGTCATAACTGCACGGCTTACAGCTCAACAGGTTTGCAGATACAACATAGTCCCTCAGCTGAGAATCTGTACTGAATAGAATTAACGAAAGGCTGGTGTTTCTTACAGCTAATTTAAATCCAAAACTCTGAAAATAACCACCTCTTGACCAGGTTAGCTCTGCAGCATAAGACACCATGGTGGTCTAATTGGTTAAAAAAAAGAGTCACCTTAGTGACACTGAAAACTTTGGCTTTATGCTCAACATACCTCGCCTTATCTACTAATCCTGCCTCATAGTACACCCTCAGGTCAAGCAAGTGTAAACAACAACAACCTCCAAGCAGCATCCTACAAACTGAAAAGAGTAAGTTTTGCTGGAGAGTTGGATCGGTCAAAACGGCCGCCCTGCTTGGTTCAATCCCTCATCACTATTTTGCAGGGGAGCCGTTGCTGCATTTTGGGATTAGCACCCCCAAGACGGTTGTGATGGTTTGACAGGAATACAAACAAGCCATCTATAGCAGAATTTAAAAAAAGAAGGTGACCACTTTCCAGCGCTGCCACAGCACTGTGGAGGTAGTTCTGGCTATGCGAGATTGAGCTACATGTTGCCTCGCAGTGCCAACGACACAAATTCTAGGCTCACAAAATTTATTTTGTGATGTTTGCAGTAAGAAATCAAGTAACAGGTATGTGTCAATCAATTACTTTTATACCCTTATTTTACGGAGTAAGTCAAGAAGAACAATTTCTTAATTCTACTGGCAGTCTGGCAATGACTGGTATTTTATAAACTGGATTACATACGGGCATTTTCTTGGCAAGCAGTTGTGGTACAAGCGGGATAAATAACCTCAGAGTTTATACATTGCATGACTGTGATAAATGCCACTGGGGCAAAGAACTGCTCAATGCAAAGCAGAGCTACCCTCGTCTTTGTGTCAAGTGGTACTTAGCCTTCTGAGTAATTTATCACAACCATGGATCATACATTGTGTTGGCTATTATCCCTTACACTTCTTATGCTGCTTTATGTGCACTCTAGCAAGGCAACTTTCCACAAAGTTAAGCTGAAACTTAAACACACTGGCAAGAGTTTACTCATGTATGCGAGACCCCCTTCATTAATTTAAAGATGTCTGAATCTGCAGTTGAAATGAGATAAGATTATACTTTGTCATTGCACAGAGTACAACAAAATCCAGTAATTATATATCGCTGCTTGTTAGGAAGCTGGGGTCAGTGCAGGGTCAACCACACTACGGCGCCCCTGAAGTAAATAAGGTTAAACCAGGAGCCCAAAGCCTTAACCGCTGAGCCACCACTACCTAATTGCACATTTTCAGAAAGATTTTTTTGCCAGATTGAAATCTGTGTTTAAAGAAAACACTTCATTTCAGCTCTCCAAAAGAACAACAATCATTAAATTTACGAGTCTTAGCTGTTCTTTTATTTCTGCCCAGAATCCAACTGACTACCTAATTGCCATCATTACACAGAATACCCGTCAGAAAGTTGATTTTTCAGCTGTAAAATGTCCCATTCTGCACAAATGTGTTTGCTCATGTTGTGATTTTAGAAAATAGGGTACAAAATATTGCTACCAGAATTTGTGTCACTATCAGACCTAGAAAATCCAGTGTCAGTCAGGCTTTGTGGTGTTTATCACTGTAGAATGCCACATTATATCACAGTGGAAATACAGTTTCCTGCCAGAACCCACAACAAACATTCACATTTGACTCAATTTGAATCTAATTAGAGTTTGATTCAATTCAATTCTGCAACAGCCAGTTTTGATATATCCCTTATAATTGGTTCTGTTGAAGGATTCCTGACAGTAAATCCCCACCTGTTCACTCACTGAAAATACCTATTAAAAATAAATAAATAAATAAATTCTATGTCCACACTTCTGATGATTTTTTTTTACACATTTAAAAAAATATTATGCAAATGTGCACAGTCTGGAACTTATCTCCTCTATTTGTACACACAAACACATTTGTAAAGAGCGGGCCACTTGGCTGGACAGTCATGATCAGTTTAAGGTCAAATAAATTCCCCGGTGAAACGCACACACCCACACGCACACAAACAAACAGTCTGAGTGCTAGTAAAGCAGCCTTAGTGTCAGAATAGTCGTTTGCCGTTTATTGATTTCCTATACATGTTCCCACTGACTGCCTCTCTCTCTGTCGTCCTTTTCGATTGTAAACTTAACACTCTCTCACTGATTAAATTTCTAACTTTGCCTCCCTGTGTCTCTGTCACTCCCAACATTTACAACTAATACACTGATTAAATGCCACACTCGCCATTACTGAAAACAATCTCTCTGGTGGGAAGACCCCCCTCCTCATTTCTCTCTGCCTCAGAACCTCACCATCAAATTCAGTGTCTCTACTATCGCAAACACACATGATTAAATACCAAACTCTGTCACAGGATGACTGCAGGATTAACACGCTCCGACACATTCTCTCAGTCTCTCTTAAGTCCTGTCTTTTTCTAACTCTGCACTCAAAATGAGAAGACGAACCAGCACTGCGAGGGCGCGTGTCCGTTTTAGACAAAGCAAGGCGATTGAAATAGTGCACCAAATGGTCTCTCTTGTCATTTTCATCTGCAGCTACTGGTCATGGTATGTGGCTAAAGCACTATTAAGTCCTTGAAATGTCACAGTGCGGTCATGACATACCAGCATGAGACACAGTCGCAGTCTGAGTGGAGCTGCTGAACAAATCATATCAATGAAAGCAAAATTGGCATCTGTGTATATGTCATTGAGTTGTGTGTGTGTGTGTGTGTCAGTCTGAAAAAGTCTCAAAAAGAAAACAGCCGCTGTTGACAAATGGCTGAGCTCAGATTACCCACGCAGAGGTAGGCGGAGATTACAGTCACAAAGCTCTGCAAATAATTCACTACTGTCTAAAGGTTAACAATAAAAGTCGCTGCTGCATTCACAAAGTGTGCACACACTAGAGTCAGGCGGTTACAGCAGTACACCGACTGGCTTTTCATGTATCTACCTGCACTTGTGCATACTGAATGGTGGCAGTCATGCAGGCAGTAGTTACAGTCCATATATGTTTTACATGCTGCATTTTTTCTCTTATGATCACGTTAGTCAGGCTCTAACACAAGACAAGAAACATGCACAAATGTAATTAGTGCATTTAGGAATGCAACTATGCATGTATTCGTGTACTCGCAAATGCAAGCACTTTTTGAGAAATAAAAAACATCTCTAAATCCTAAATTTCCACTGCGGGGACCAGCAAACTTTTTATCCTTGATGAATAATTTAACCCTCTGATATCCCAAAACCTGACAGCGAATAAAAGAGGCAAGTTATTTTAAAAAACATTCAGCATAGCAACAAGCTGTAAAAACAGGACGATCTGTTTAACTAATTCTGGGTAACATTCAGTTTTGTAAGAAAAAAACAACATAATCCAAGTTTGAAATCTGTACATTTCTGTCAATTTTCCATCATCTCCACGCAATGTACAATTCTTTTTCCTAATACTCAAATATACATTTTAGGGAGATGATGCTAAAAATACTTTGCTGACTTGACGTGAGACCAACAGCAGGCAGACAGAAGGAAGATAAAGACACAAGAGGACAAGAAAAACACAAAGAGGCAGAAGAAGACTGGGCAGTAACAAGAGTAGGAAGACAGAGATCACTAGAAACATAGGTAGCCTACGCTGTCTAGCTTTTAATTTTACAAACGTCGCTACAAGATTCAAAATCAGCGTGCACACGGAGTCAGAAGGTCAGACTAAATAAACCACAAGCACCACTTCTTCCATGTGAGGGGCAGCACGGTGCAGAGGTCACCCTAATGCCAGGGATCAAGTTCTCAAAGAAAAACATAAAGCAGCTACAGCCACTGGCACACTAATGGTGTTTCCCACCACCGCACAGATACTGTGCTATATTGGGCTTTTATGTCTACTGCGGTGTTGTGTTTTGTGTACGCTGTGTACAGCTGCCTTGCAAACATAATGATGATTTACTGTACAGCACCCTGTGGAAGTGGGTCATATTTGGTTACCTTAGCAGCAGCTTTCTAGTGTGCCTCCACTGACTTGAAATACATACCGACGTCCAATAGGGTGCACTTACGTATGCGAAAACATAATTTAGGACTCTAAGTGCAACTCAGTGTGGAACGTTTGATGCATTTCACTCGCATGTGTTTCTAACATGAGCTGCATCCAATATCAGATGTGTACTGGCTTGTTAGTGATACTCTACAGAACATTAACAGTCGTAGCATTATCTAAAGACAGTTTTATATTTATTGATTTTTACTAAACCAAATGATTAACTGCTGTCTTTAGAGAAAACCCAACTAAATAATCAGATTAGTTAATAACAGCCACAGCAGTCACCCAATCTCCTTTTAATTAAAACACTGTAACTGCTGTGGTATTGTATATGTCCTCTCTGCTATAATGTGCAACTTTCACCAATCACCAGTTTAACCAGTAGTGGAAATAATTGTCTCACCCCTATTAAACTCACTCAGTATGCACGTTGGAGTGTTTTCACAAACCTTTAATCGGCTGCTTGACTTCTCCGTTCTCCCTCTTGATCTCATTCATCACTTTGTGCTTCTTCTTCTCCTTTTCTCGCTCTCGTTCTTTGACCTTCTTCTTCTCCCTCTCCTCTCGCTCCCTCTCCTTCGCCTTGTCCTTGGTGGAGTGCTCTGTGGAAGCAGAGAGGATGCTTTCAGGTCTTGATGGCAGAAACACATTGACACGAGAGCTCGGATTAACACACGTGCACACGTTTGAGCACACTCATTCACTTTGATTGGCTTCTTTAACCCCTTCACTGTGCTCTTGCCAGGTACTTCACCTCGGCTACCCCCTTGTTGTTGATTTTCAAAAAACGGTTAGGTTTTTTTTTTTTCCGTCTCCTGCACAAAATGTCATCTCTCCATCAAGCTTCTGCTCTTATATTGTTTTAGCACTGTAATGACCTTTAATTTCCTTTTCAGGCTGCACCAGTTACTGCAACTTCACTCAAAACCTTAAAGCTGCATTTCATTAAAACACGCCTCACGTCTTCTCCCACAAACTTACCCCTCTCCCGTGTTCTGCCTCTACAATAGTCAAAACGCTCTGGTTTTTAAACTCCTCAAATCCGTCCTTGCTTTTCAGCTCATACATTTCCTCTTCCAGCACTTCTCAGTCTGACAGAAACATTTGCGTGTTGCGGGAGTATTACAGATTGAGGAATTGGAGCACACTCAAAATGCAACACTCACTGCAAATCGCTGTGGATGAGAGCACTGGTTTAAAATGTAAATATCACACCATCACACACCTCTTCAGTTGTTGGAGTGCTTCCTAAAAGCCAAGGCATGTCCAAGTGTGTGTACACTGACAAACACACATAAATCAACACCTCTCGCCTCCAGCTGAGCTAAGAAGCCCTCGCCTTTCTTAAAATAACTTTCATTTTATCAAGTCTTTTATTCCTCGCCTCCTTTGATTCTTTATTTCCTTTCATTTTCGCACAATGAAAAAAAAAAAAAAACTCTTTTATTTTTTTTTCTCCATAGTAGCTATTTTGCGGTTTCTTTCTCTCTTTTCCTTGCCAAAGAACTTTAATCTTTGAACTCGGTCAGATCCGTCTTTAAAAAGGAAGCTGTGTTTTCAGACTGTTCGCTCTCCTGTGGACGTGGGGAGTGGGAAAGTGAGCACAGCGTGGCTGGACTCGCTGTTTGCAGGATCAAAGGAGAAAATGCTTTGAAAGTTAAAAAAAAGGCTTAAAGGAGCTGAAGGAGAATTAGAGGGACATTGATACACTTTTGCAATGATAATATTTAAATAAATACCTCGTTATTTTGGATTTTAGCGCATTTTCCCTTTATTACTTAACATGCAGGTAGTCGTGCTCCTCATAACTTGTACTTGATAGGAGGAATGCTAAGAAACCGTTTTAAAAACTATGCAAAATGAATGCTGCTAAATTACTAGACACTGTAAGCTGCATGGTGAAGAAAAAAAACCCTGCACGTTTCAAAACATCAATTTAGCTCCACGGGCAGCAGCCTACAAAGGACGACTCACTCAGATCTAGTGCCAGATTTATAAAAACATGTCAGAGCACGCCAGAGCGGTAACATTCATAAATCTTAAATTTAGAGGCAATGGACGATAAATTAGCCCAGGTGGCTGACCTGGCCTTACACGCTGGAGAACATGCTGACTTAGCACAGCTTGAGAAGAGGGTCTTGCCCTTAAAATAAAGGGAAGTTTTCTTTTGAACTTCATGAGAACCACAAAGATGAAAACCGGCTCGTACAATGACTCTGCAGTTTGACAGACTATCTGATGACTTGTAGAGGGGAGGCAAACGTTCAAAGTGGTGAGTCATTAAAATGTAAAATAAAGTTGATATTGTCAGGTCAAAAGTGCAGCAGAGTAGAAGTTTAAATGAACCAGAAATGAATGGGATCCATTTTTTTTCCCTTCACTTCACTTTGTTTTCTGGCTTTCTTGCGGCAGTCGGTTTTGAAGGGGAACACAGCAGGTGGTTTTCAGTTTGGATGATCAAAGCAGAGATAACACTTTGAAAGATAGAGGGCTAGAGGTAGGCAGTTTGTAAACTTCAACTGCACAACTACTCACTGGTATCTAACTTTTCAGAGCTGTGAAGGAGAATCAAAAATTCTGAAAATCAATGGGGTATCCACATTTTGATGTTTGTTTTCTTTATGTAAATTGCAACTGAAAGCCAAGTTTCTCCGATTGTTTGCCCTTGAAATTACCTTTATTCTGTGTTTTAACTTGTTAACCCGAGGCAGCACAGTGTTAAACATTGCTGCACTGCCAGCTTTGACTCGGTGTTAGGAATAGAAGACGGCCGGCTTGTCCGAGGTGTTCCCTGCCTCTTGCCAAAAAGCGTACTGGGATATGCTCCAGCACCCTGTGGCCCTCAACCGGATAACCTCGACAATGTATGACAGGATTGCAATAAAGTGACAAACCTCAGTGTTAATCATGCAAAGGTTTCAAAGGCTTTCACATGATTTACATAACATCTATTTAATTCATTTCTTTGTTCTCCGTATCTGAATAGTCACCGACTGTTTCTTTCAATCTCCTCCATCTTTCCATGGAATTCTCTTATGTAGATAATTATGCAAATTTTGTTTTTGTGGGAGAATCTGAAGGCTTCACAGATGAGACACAGGGAGCTCACCACTGTGAACATCACAGTTTGAGGAGCAATTTCATGTGAAAAATGCTGGACACTAACAAGCGCATAATTTCTGCAGTAAACTAACACACTGTGGCAACCTGCGGAAAACTGGGATGAAAAAAAAAAAAGAAGTAAAGGGCAATCCGGGTCTTGCACATGTTTAAGGAGATACAGGGTGAAAACACATCAGTGCAAAACATCCTGTAATGAGAATTCTGCTTCGACTATCAGTCTGCATTCAGCATCTGAGCATGTATGTCGAACTGAAGCTGAACGTAAAGGAAAGACACACACCATCTGCGAGGCTAGCCGTATAATCAAAGGACAACCAAAAAGCCAAAAAATATTTTCACATCAATTTGGATCCGTACAGTTGGACTCACAGTAGGGCTACAGGTACTCCCACATTTCAGGAAAATCCTGCTACTCCAGATGGTCAGTCCACCCCTGCTGGTGTGGCAAATCCAAGCTTCGCCAAGCCAAATGATTTAGCAGGAAGATTCATACAATCTTTGTCACCCTACTGAATTAATACCACACATGCAGACTTAAGTATCTTGTAATTTTTAGGAGGGAACAAATACCCAAGGCAACTTAATCGGGTGCTGAGGACATTTAGGCTTCATTTTCTCCTTAATGTTATCGGCCACAGATGTGCAGTCTCATGGTACATTTACATTGACACAAATAAACTAATGATGTGGTTCATGACAGCTCTGTTGCTTTTAACATAAGATAGAAACACAAACAGGTTGAATGCAGCAACCAAAAGACAAACAAAAAAATACCAGTTGCCATATTACCCTTTGTAAAGCGCAACTAGTGTTAATCTGTAACTTATGTGTCAGATCAAAACGTCCCGAGTGGTGAGAGCAAGGCCTTTACATTAAAGGAGTTATTTAAACATTTGCAAGTATTCCTGCTATGTTTACTTAGATGTCTGCTCAATTTAAATGTAAGTAAGATAATCCGTTTAAGACGTTTAAAGCTAAATGTATTTGGAGCCCTGCATTTGGTTATAATTATAATATCAGACTGTATGTAAATAGTCTGGGTGTCAACAACAGGTCACACAGCTGAATTAATAACTACACCCTAAACACAAGCTCAAATCTATTTTACGCTATTACGCCTATGTTTTTTTTTTTAAACTATATGTCTCCACTTTTTAAAGGTTTCCTCATCTCGATGCACTTGTTTGTTGCACAGACTCCTGTCTCCTATTTCAGCACCAGATGTAATCAGCAGTCACTGCTCCCTGGCACTTGCCTTCAGCCTCGCTCCAACAGCAACCCCGCCACTAATAATATTACTGTGATGATGTGATACTCTTTGGATCCCTGTAGGAAAATTCTTTCCCTGCAGGAAGGTCAGAGCACAATTCGGCTTAAGAGCAGCACTCCTGGAGCTGACAGAGATTCAGTCCCAGGCTCAAGGACACTTTCCAGCACTGGGTATCAAACTCGTGTCCTTCTGTAGAACAGCAGTCTGTCAATTTGTCAGTTTTAATCCTTGAAACATTTTGTTTAGGATTAATGTGGGGTTTTTTTTGTGCTCCATTTTCATGTACTTGCCTTTCTTCACATTTGAAGCTACTCAATATAATTACAGTCTCCTACTGCTGGCCATTGAGCAGCTCACTAAGGCAATTAGAGGTCCAGCGCTACACTCAAGTGTGCCTCGGTGAAACTATTGCAGCAGTGGCATTAGTTATCATTAGTAACGGCTGCATCTAAATTTTGCCAGTCAGGTCCTCTGATGAAAATGCTGCAACCTAAATACGAGCACAGCAAAAGTGTTTTTAAAAATACTCAGAAGAACCAAACGTACAGCATGAACACTTTAAAATGTACTAAGATCAAAAGCTACACTAATTGACTTTTAGTGTAATAATTGCATAAGAAAAATGTATCCATTGCTGAGCTAAAAAAAACCCCCATAATTTAACATGTTTTTAATGCAGATAACATGCCGTTTTGTGTAATGAGCAACACCAGCTTTTATCTGTCCTGAAATCCCTTTAAAGCACTGCCTGCCGCCTATCAACTTGAACAAAATAAAAGTGACATACAACACAGCCTGTTTACAAGACTGTGTTTCCTGATAGTGTTTTAGGGCTACAGGCCAAAAACACGTCTAGTTCTGGTATCCTAATTGACTGCGGTGGCTGTTCAGACTATGCCATGACCTCCTAAACTACCCAACTGGAAACGGGTGACATCATGCATTCACATACACTCTGCATGTGCACAGCCGGTCCTTTCGCTAATGTCTAAACAATAACACACAAACAACATGAACACACTGGCAAGCACAAATGTACATAAGGATTCTGAGACACTGCTTTGGTGTAGGATTCCAATATGCTAATGGTCATTGCTGATTAATCTCTTGATAATTTTCTCAATCAAACGATGAGTTGTTTGGCCTAAAAAACATGGGAAAACGGCGAAAAATGTCAATCAGTGTTTTCCGAAGGCCAGGATGAGGTTTTCATATGTCTTGTTTTGTTCACAACCTATATTAGGATATTCAGGTCACTGCCATAGAGGAGGACAGAATGCAGAAAACACATAAGAAGCTGGGATCAGAGAATTTTAATTTTTAAACCCATTAATCGATTATCGCAATTGTTGGCGATACATTTCACAGTTGATAACTAGTTGATTAATTGTTGCAGCCCTGTTTTGGTGTGAAGATAATAAAGTGCAGGGACAAAAATACCCCACAGCGACTAAATAAAGCACACACGGTCCATTTATGAAGCAATAAGAGTAGATAAATTAGTGGCTTCATGGTTGGGATTCAATCAGCCAAAAATATATAATCATTAAAATAATAATAATTATTATATTATGATTTCTTCCAATTAAATAACTAATGTGAAAAAAATAATGTGACAACCTGGACAACACAGCAATCAAATAATTTTTGGTAGTAAATTAAATTAATGTTGTGGTGGCTGCATCAATACAGTATTTTCTGCATGTGCATCTGTTGCTGCTAATAAACTGTTATTTGTAAAGATAATGAAGAAAAGCACTTAAAGCAAAGGCACAGTCCGTATGAGAAAGAAAATGAATGATTATGGTTCATATTGATGGATGAGAATACTTGATTAATTACATATTACTTAAGCAGCAATGTAATGAATATTTTCATTAGCAATTATTGTGTTGATTATTATTTAGATTTTTTTTTTTGGTCTACAACAAAGTGAATTGGGGAAATGCATACTGTCGAAACACCTGTCCCAAACGGAAAGACACTTAATTTATACTGACATAGTAAATCCTCACATTTCAGTAGCTGGATCCAGTGTATCAGTGTATGTTTGTCATGTTTGCTTGATCAGCGATTAAATTATAATCACACTCGTTGAATTAGTTAATAAATTAATAACTTCAACACAAGCCCTTAATTGCATTATAAGCTGTGTTTGATGTGAAATTTAAACATGTTTGTCTGTGTGAAAGATGCAAAATGCATTTTGTTGGTTATGTGATGTTTGTGTGTACAATAGAAAGATCTACTTGTATCTGTAATATGTGTTTTGTAGGTTTGTGAAAAATCATATGTAAGACTACATGTAACACAGGGTAAATACATAACGAAGAACTGTGAGTTATCAATGACAAATCAGCTTTCTCCTCAGTAATAATATATCAAAACCACTTGGACGTTTCATTGCTAATCACTGACCTAAATAAGTGCAAATCCATACAGGAGCTGCGTTTGTTAATAAAGCAAATGACTTAAAAAAAGTGTTGATTGCTCACTAACCCTGATTGCATTAGGTTGTGTTTGATGTGCAATTTAAATATGATAATCAATGTGAAAGATGCAAAATACACAAGAGCACTGGTTTGTTGTGATGTTAGTGTGTACACTATTATGTCACATCTACTCACATCTACAGTAATCTTTGTTGTTTTGGCCTATGGAAAATGAGCCCCAAACCTTAAGCAAGACTGCATTGATCACCTGGTATACAGGTAACGGAGCACTCTGAATTATCAATGATAACATTTTCTCTACTAATAATAAATCAAAACTACACACCTAACAGTAAACCCCAACACTGTTTGTGATGACGTAAATGACTGAAAAGCTATTTATTGAGCACTGGCCCAAATTGCATGAAAACTTGTGTATGATGCACAATAAAATACATGATGATCATGATGTGAAAGATGCAAAATACACGAAGCATTTGTTTGTTTTTGGGATGTTTACGTAAACAACAAAATCTACTTGTTTTGTAGGCTTGTGAAAACAAACCAAACATCCTACTTTGGCGTGGTTTACAAAACACTCATTCAGCCCACAGTTCGTCCATGATTTAAACTGAATTAACGTCGAGGTGGCTGAATGAACACAGCATTCTCTGCATGTGCAGCTGATGCAGCATCATCAACAAGCCGCGGAGCTCCGTCTCCCATACAGCCTGGGGTTACAGAGGGGGGCGTGGTGCTCGACCAAAACAACACTTACCCTATAATGGCGGGCGGCTGTCATATTGTTATGACAGCAGCGTGTAGTTTTCCAATACCCACGCAGCTCTAAAGAAAATAAAAATAATCTACACAAGAAAGGACAGCACAGATTTACGTGGAATTGACTTAAATTGTTTCGCTGATTTTCCAGAGTGCATTCTGTTTAGTTCTCATTTGTAAAACATCCTCGTCAAGCTGCTGCGTTGCTGTTGTGTGAATTAAAGTGCTTTTATATTCAGTCGACGCGACGTAACGACGTAACAATTCCGCCGCAGCACGAGAGCAGCTGGTTACGATCTAAACTGCCAGGTCGCGCGACTGCTGCCCCGCTCTTGTGGAGCTCGAGGGTTCACGAGCGGGTGAAACAGGCGACGGACGCTGGCAGCCATGTCCATCCCCACTGAAACACCCAGCAAACCGGGCTTCACAACCTCCAAACTCGATCTAAACTGCTCCCCCGGTGAAGTAAAAACGATTAAAAAAACATGAGAGTGTTTTCCTCAACGCTAAGGAGCGAATTTTGAACAGTAGCTCGTCCGAAAAGGGGACGAATCGGACGGACAACCGCACATGTTCGCGTCCCGAGCGGCTGAAATCCACCACGAGCCGAGCAACTATAAAAGGGCAGAACTCCAGTTTACCTTTAATGAACCCCACTCAAAGTTTAAACCAACATTTAAATAAGGACAAAAAACACCACAATGGCCTACCTTTGGGTGGCAACGTGACCTCTCCATTTTCTCTCTTCACCGCAGAAACGTTGTTAAACCTGCTGATAACGTTGTTGTTGCTGCTGGCGGTACTCCCGGGTCCGGAGGTCAGCAATAGTTTATGTTTCTTTTTCTCCTCCCCGCCGCCTTTCCCCTTCTCCTTCTCTTTTTCCCGCTGTTTATCTTTACTCGGTTTCTTGAGTTTGGAGGAAGAAGGCGCTTTGTGGAGGAAGAAATCGCTCTGTTTGAAGACTTTGTGCGGCTGGGATCCACCGGTAGCAGGCACCGGGGGGTTGGTGCTGGTGCTGCCGCCGCCGCCGCCGCTGCTGTTTGTCTTAACCGGGCTGAAGCTCCACAAACCCGCGCTGCTGCTGCTGCTGCCATAACTCTGCTGCTTCGCGGGCTGCTGCTGCTGCTGCTGCTGCTGGAGTTTCTCTTTGCCGCTACCGTTGCCTCCCACTCCTCCTTCCCTGCTGAGTTTCTTGGGTTTAACGCTCGTCTCCTCGACTCGGACCTTCTTGGGCGGCGGCGACTGGTTGAAATCCCGGGAAGACTGGGAGCGGTTGTCCGGCGCTGCCTTCGCCTCGGTCGGCTTGCCGAGCGCGCTTTTGACGGAGGCTGGAGCAGCAGCAGCAGCTCCGGGGAGGTGAACAGAGCCCTGCGAGTCAGCCATCTTGAGGCTTCTCTCTCTATTTACTCTCTTCCCCAACGGCCGCTGCTGCTGTTTTTTTTTTTTTTTTTTTTTCCTGAACACGACGTGCAGGCAGCAGAGGGGCGGGGCCGAGTGGTGACTGACAGGCAGGCAGCGAGGGGGCGGGACCAAGGCTTGACTGACAGGTAAGGAGGGACATTAGGGGCGGGACTTAGCACATGTGCGGTAATTCAGAGCTCTGCCGGTTAATCGATTCATCGACTTTTTAACAGATTAATCGATTATTCTAAACGGCTAATTTTCGTCCACAAAACGCACGTTTGTTTGGGAAAAAAAGTACAAGCCAGTTCCTAATGTTTTTAATGCTATTTTTAAATTGTTAAGACATATTTTTTGAAAATACATATATATATATTATTCCACATTTTGAGCTATTTTAACAGCCCTTTTAGCTGCCAAAACAAAATAATGTAAAGAAAACAAAATCTCTCAATCAGCTTTAGTTAGTTTGGAGCTGCTACTAACGTCTATTTTTCTATCGACCGATTAATCCAAATGGCTAACTACAATCCACAAAAACAAAATTAAAATTATGCTTGTTTTATTTTGTATGGGGCACAATCATGTTTTTACAATCTTCAAAACATTTTAAAAATACATCCTATTTTAACTTTTAAAGG